CACTCATCCGAGGCCCAAGCCTTTGTTGCTGGTTGTATCCCTTCCGATAAGCCAAGGAACGGCTCTCCCCTGCCACTCTCCGCTTTCAACCTTTCGGCCTTATCAGCGTGAACAAATTTGAATTAGGAATTTGAATTAGAATTTTCATGCCGAATTATGCGAGGCTGCGTAGCTCGGCTCTTCTTTACTTTGGTTTTCATAGGACGGAGGAGGACGAGGAACTCGCTCCAGGATGGTACTAAATGAAACTAAATTGCTTTAAACTGGACATTCAACTACCTAAGAAACTCTTCAAAACAATTGAAAATAATTTGAGGGAAATCTTCCATAATACGTGCTTTGACAGACCGAGACAATGGCTTTGCAGATTGTACCGCAAAAAAGTGGCAGGACCCTCACCAGTTGTTTCTTTTTTAATCAAGACCAAGTTTTTGCATGGCTGGCATTTAGGTGGGTCAAAGGTAAGTGCAACGCTCGGACAGGACAGTCTCAAGAAAGGCAAAAGAAAAGTCAGCCCAGGACCAGCACGACACAGATGCAGACACTTTTTATGGGCTATAGAGAAACCTCAAAATTGCAGATTTAATTTTATTTTATTGCACTCTTCCTTGCTGCCAAAGGAAATTGTTTCTTTATGCTGCAGAGTCCAGGGATTGCTGGCGTGAGTCGAAATTTAATCAAGAAAATATTTGGGGCTGCAAGACAACTATTTGGCTACACATAGTTCGTTCCAGCGGCTAGATGCTCGCCTGGCTCGAACGATAGCTCATTAATAAACATAAGCAACAAATTGCTCGACAAAATCAAAAAACCGAGACCATTTACAACCCCACTGAGCAAATGCCTTGGGTTTGAAAAAAAGAGGAATCCAAAAAACGGAGGGAGCTTGCTGGTATAATATTTGTAATCAAACGCAGCCAGAGTCATAATAATCAAGTCGTAAAAAACAAATCCATTTTCGCGCTTGAATAAACAGCCAAAACACAGACTTGAAAGGCAAAAGGCGAGAGTCGAGTCTCAAGATTTCCCAAAACCAGACAGGGGGTCATAAGATGAGCAGTAAAAACAATAATAGTAATGGCGGGAACATTTTTACACCTTCCACGGCACGACCACGACCACAAAAGGGATCCGGGGATCAAGGATAACAGTGTTGGCCATAAAAGGCGAAGGGAAAAATAGCTCAATGGCAGAGCTTGGGCCGACAATTTTACGATTACAACAGGACGACAACCTGTAAATTTTGCGCTTTATTTAACCGAGGCCGCAATGACAAATCTGTGCATCGGTACTCTGGCATTTAACGATCGTAAAATCACTCATCAAACGCTGTAAATTATAATGTAATAGAAAAATAATAAGCGACTGCGATGGATGCATTGAGGATGTTATCATCGTAAAGTCCTGGCGGGGTGGAGAGGGCGAGAAAGTCGTAAAATAAGTCCTTGTGTCTGGAAATCCTGGCGTTAGTTTTCACACCCGGAGAATAGAGCGGATGCAAAGCTCTGGCATCATTACACTTGAGTGTTTTACAACTTCCGTTCGGCATGGCCATAAAGCGTAATCTTCATGTTTTTATTAGGAGGAGCGGCGGTATCCTTGTCAATGGGGCATTGAGGACATCAAATTGACAGCTCCTTGGAGTCGTAAAACTCAGCCACTGTCTGTCAGAGCGTACATATGTTGCGGGGTAATGATTGTCACCGGCTAAACAATTAAATCGAGGTTAGAATGGCGCATAAAAAGCGCATAAAAGGGACATAAACAGACAGGACCCTCAGACCCTTCCAACGAGCATCAGAATGACAATGACGATGTCGTCAACGCATCGTAAACATTTTAAGCCCCTGTTTATTTTCATTTGGAAGGGATAACATCCGCAGTAGATGACCCGGCTCGTAAAACTCTGCTGATAAGACACTCGCCGCTGGCAATGATAATAAAATTATAATTTAGTCCTCACATGCCCCGGATGTGTCCCCACGACTTGACTAGAGTGTGTCGCAGCGCTGTAAAGTGCGCTAATCAGCATTTAAAATTAACTAAATGGCCGGCTCTTAAGTTTGCCTTGGGTCCTTGGGTCCGCTCTTGAGGCTGTAAAACCTGGCCCTATCCTGGCACATCCTAGATGGGCCATTAACAGGATTGGAGAAGATGCGTTTTTCATGTACTGGCCGGGGCATATGGTTGTTCGAGATCCATTCCATGCCACTTCCGTAAGTGGCTGCAAAGTGGCGTTTGATTGCTCAACTTTCAATCCCCTAATGGCTAAATGATTCGGAATTAACGTGGGGATGGACAACAAGGATGCTAGATTTAATGGATGAATACTTCTACTAATTCTTAGTATAGTTATTGAAATAGCAAACATTCCCTATCATCCTACCTGTGCTTTAATCATTATCCTGCGGAACTCTCCGGTTTTAATTGATGCCAGGCCAGGACACACTCATACACGCCCTGCAGAAGCCCATAAAGTGCGCCCCACAAAAGGGATGCTTACTTCCGCCATTTTCTATGATGAATTGCTACTTTTCCAGAGAGTAGATGCGCAGAGACAGCAGAAAAGAACGTAGAATGGAGCTCAAGTGAGGGATGAGCTGAAGTTGAGCCGAGAACAGCCAGGGCAGAGGCAGGACCAGCTAAAAGGACCAGGTGGAGGGGTAGATGCTCCCATAGATACACATTTATCCAGCTGTCGGCGGCGTTGACAACGGGCGGGCGAAAAAAGGAATGCAGGATGCCGCAAAGGACTCGCAATCGCACCAGCACTCGCCATCCAGCTTCCAAGGCAGGTGAAAGCCCGCCACACTCGCCGAAAAAGGACACGAGAAGTGCACTTTGGACACAGGACACCCACGCATTCAGGGTGCTTTTTGCCGCTTATTTATGTCTGGCAATCATAACAGAGAGAAAGAGAGACCTATACAGAGAGCGAGATAGAGGGAGAACAGGAGCGAGTGCAGGTTATGGCATTCTATAACTCAGAACTCGGGGCTCTGGAACTCAGCAGCCAGGAGTCAGGACTCTGGGTCTCTTTCTGGCCAACGTCCTGCCTCTGATGTATTCCATACAAATTGCAGGTTTTAGTGTTTTTGTTTTTGCCCTCGAACTCGAGGGTGAACCGATGATTCGGTGGCAGCCAGGCGGCGGCGGGGAGAGGCCGGCCGACTGAGTGGTTTCGGTGGGTGGGCCAGTGGGCAGGCGCATCATCCATCAATGGCATTTGCGGCAAGGACAGCGCCGAATGCTCTCGGTGAGTGCTTTTGACGTTTTTGTGTCGCAGACACAACAACTACACCGAAAGGATGTGTGGGGGCGGGTCAGGACTTAAGCAGCATCCCCTTTTTTTCTTTTTGATTTTTTTTATGGGCAAAGTCACGAGTCGAATTTGTTTATTATTTTTAGCAAATCAGAATCTCTTTAAATAAGGTTTATTTTTTTATTTATAGGCTATTTTTATTAAATTTAAATATCCTCTCTCTATCTCTATCTCTTTGTTTCTTTCTTCCTCTTCTTGTGCTTTTTCTAAAATAATAACATAAAATATGGCTGGCCTTGAACAATTTACTTTTATTTTATTTTTATTGCCCAGCCTCTCCGGAACTCGGCTTCAACATGTGGCTCTGCGCCCTCCCCCTCCCCCACGCCGTCCCCCTCGTGTGGGCCGTCTGCATTGTTGTTGCGCCTCGCTTTTAGCTTCATTAAATTTATGTTGCAATTTGCCCCGCCCCACCCGCTCGCCCAAAATGTCCTGGGCCTAGTTGCACGTGCCGCGAGGCCGTAAAACAGATCGTAAAAGTTTATTACTTGCGGCTTTTGTTTGTTACAGTTACTCTCTCGCTCTCTGCGGGAGTGTGTGTGTGCGCTATGCTATGCTTTCTCTTTCTCTGCCCGCTCTCTCCATCCTTGGAGCCGCCGTCGCCGTCGCCTGTCAGCTGTCAAATTGAATTTGTTTATATTGCCAGCCCGGCTCGCCGCTCCAACAGGTTTCATTTTCACTCCCCCGCCCCATTCCCTGCCCTGCCAGGACCGGAAATCATTGCGTCATGCTGATATTTTGTATTTTAACGCCTAACCCCCCCCCGTGCCACGCCCCCTCCGCAAGGGCGTTTGTTTGTGTGTAGGCTGCAAAGTCGATTTTTGTTGGTTTAGGTCAGTTTAGGTAGCTCTGGCTTTGACAGCTCAAAGTCGAGGTCAACTTTTGTATGCCCATCATCATCTGCTGTTCCTGTCTGTATGAGATTGTGTCTGTATTGGCTGTGTACTGTGTCTGTGTGTGTGTCAGGGAGCGTTTATTTATGGGTCCGCGCTGGTCGGCGAGACGGCCGCGTCCCTTTCGAAGCGACGCGTCCTTGTCAGTTGCCAAAAACATAAAAAATCGATTTTATTATAGCCGTCAGGCTGGGCCATCTATATAGATTTTCTGTCACTGGCTGATATTGCCTTTGTCTGGGTGACTCTGCATGAGAGTGTGTGTTTTGAACGTGGCTGTGACAGGCTTAAAGTGAGGCTCAGGTTTTGGTTGGAAAAGCATTTAAATTTTGCTAGCAGACACCATGGCGTATGAGTAATATTAAAAGGCAATGTTTGGAAGTTAGAACTATGTATGTATGTAGGTATGACCTATTTAAATAGTTTCTTTAAACTTTCTTTATACTAAGCTGTTATGGTATTAAGTAAGTCCCTCAAGTGTTTAATACTTTCTCTTTTCTGTTTTTTATTGCGAACTTAGAACCCAAAACAAAACCAAAAAAACGTAAACTAAACAATCAAAAAGAGGGAGGCGCATAAAAAGCTTAAAAAAGCTCTCCTAAACTTAATTAATGAACAAATTCTCTAATCAAAAATGAGACAATATTTAGTCTTCAATATGTTGTCAACGCAGTTAAACGCAACTAAGCAGATCCCGAACAAAATTCGCCATATATATAGATGCTTGGCCACAAAGGTATGTATTTTCATATTTAATCAAGTTTGGTATTATTCTAATATCTGAAATGTCGCAGACATCTGTGGGTCTCGGGGAGGCAAAACCCTATGCTGACATTCCAGGTCCCAGCAAATTTCAGCTAGTGCGAGCTTTCCTGCCGGGCGGTAAGTGGGCGGACCAAAGCTCTCCAATGAAATCTTCGCAAGAGACTGCGAGAAAACGATCTCTTACTCTCCTGACCAGGTCGCTATAGGGGGCTGCCGGTGCACGAAATGTTCCTCGATCTGAATCGTCAGTACGGCGGCATCTTTCGGATGCCCAGCATCGCCGGAGTGGATATGGTGCTCACCATGAACCCCCAGGACTACGAGATCATCTTCAGAAACGAGGGCCAGTTTCCCTACAGGAGAAGCTTCGAGGTGATGGACTATTTCAAAAGAGTTCACAGGCGGGATGTTTTCGAGGGCCACGATGGATTGACCTCGGGGTGAATCGGCTTAGTCATCCGCGTATATCTTTATTTAAAAAAAGCCTTTTCAGAAACGGCCCAGAGTGGGGAAAAATGCGAACTGCCGTGAATCCCATTTTGCTCCAGCCGCGGAATGCCAAACTCTATATAAGTAATCTCCTTCAGGTCAGTGATGAATTTTTGCAGCGGTGAGTGGTTATGAATGATGGAAGCAATAAGCCTTTCCTCTAATGCATTTTCAGCATCCGTTCTGCCCGAGATCCAGTCACCCAGGAGATGCCCGATGACTTTGTCGAGGACATACGGAACTTGGTGATTGAGTCCATTTGCTCAGTAGCCTTGAACGCGCACCTCGGCCTGCTGGGAGAAAATAGAGACAATAGGGACGTTGTCTCCTTGAAATCCGCCTTGAAAGATGTGGTGGAGCTGGGCTTTCAGCTGGACATGATGCCGCCCCTTTGGAAGTACCTGCCTGTGCCAAGTTTCAAGAAACTGATTAAATCCCTCGACACCATCACGGATTTCTGTTCTCACCACATTGAGCTGGCTCTTAAGAGGGTCGAGGCGGACTCCAAGGCAGGAAGACAGTCGGATTTGGGCTTAGAAACCAGTCTACTGGAGAAGCTGGCCAAGTTTGATCGCCAGACCGCCGCCATTATTGCCATGGACTTGCTTTTTGCTGGAGCGGATCCGGTGGGTTGATTCTACCCAGCTCTGTAAACTTTTAAATTATTTTTCCGGCAGACCTTAGTTTCCCTCGGAGGCACATTGCTGAGTTTGGCCAAAAATCCCAGCAAGCAGGATCGGCTGCTGGCGGAGATCCGGGGCATCCTGCCGGAGAAGAACTCGCCCCTGACAATGGAAAACATGAAGAATCTGCCCTATCTAAGAGCCTGCATCAAGGAGGGCATCCGGCTGTATCCCATCGGACCTGGCACCCTTCGGCGCATGCCCCACGATGTGGTGCTCAGTGGCTACCGAGTCTCAGCGGGAACAGACGTAGGCATCGCCGCCAACTATCAGATGGCCAATATGGAGCAGTTCGTCCCGCAGGTCCGGGAATTCATTCCAGAGCGGTGGCTCCGGGACGAGAAGAACTCGCACCTAGTGGGCGAAACGGCCACGCCCTTCATGTACCTGCCCTTCGGCTTCGGACCGCGCTCCTGTGCCGGCAAGCGCATCGTGGACCTAATGATGGAGATAGCCATTGCCCGGCTGGTGAGGAACTTCCAGATCGGATTCGACTATCCCATCGAGAATGCCTTCAAAGCCCAGTTCTTTGTTCAGCCGAATATTCCTTTCAAGTTTAAATTTGTGGATCGAAACGATTGATATTATATGTCATAATATACAAAATAAATACTTAAATTTTTTTTTTTTTGTAATAGCAGGGTAATGTTTATTTAAAACTGTCCATTAGGGACAACCATTAAATTTTATCACGTAAACTTCACGTATAGATATTTTTAAATATTAATATGGTAGAAAAAAAAAATTAGAGTAGTAAGGGGAGGTCCAGCGGGTGTGTCCTTTTAAGTCTTCTGGGTTGCTCGCTGCTGTCCAGCAGGGAGCTGGCCAACCGGTTCGGGTGATTATGAAGCCTCTGCATGTAACGTGCGCTGCTTCTTTGTATCTCGTCCTTGACCCAAGGGAAATTGAGAACCTCGTGGATAGTGCGATTGTCATGATAGACGTGGGCCCCAGTGGCGATTCGAAGGACTCTATTTTCGAAAGCTTGCATAGTTCGGACATTCGTCTTGCTCGCAGTTCCCCAGAGCTGTATGCCGTACGTCCAGATAGGGCGTATTATTGCCTTGTAAATGAGGAGTTTAGTGGAAGTTCTCAGCTTCGATCTCCTACCCATAAGCCAGTTGAAGGATCGAAGTCTTTGAATAGCCTGTTTCCTCTTCTTAATCAGATGGGGCTTCCAGGTGAGCCTCCTATCTAGGGTGAATCCCAGGTACCTGGGATTGTCTACCTGTGGGATTGGAGAGCCGTTAAGGTTAACTGGAGGGCAGTTGCCTTTGCAGAGAGAAAATGTGGAGGCAGTGGACTTCTCGTTATTGACGGCAATGTTCCATCGCTTTTGCCAGTCGCTGAGCAAGTCAAGCTGCAATTGCATCGTATCGGCTGCCCCCAATGCGCTATCGGCGGTGGTAAGGAAGGCGGTGTCGTCTGCATAGGTTGCTGCGAGCAGGTCAGGCCTCTGAAGAACAGGGAGGTCGGCCGTGTAAGCATTGTACATCAACGGGCCAAGAACGCTGCCTTGGGGTACACCAGCGTGAGCTTCTCTAATACCGGAGATGGCCTCGCCACATCTAACAGCAAATTTACGGTCTTCCAAGAACGACTTTAGGAACTGGAAGTATGGTCGGGGTAGGCCAGTCTTTAATTTATATAGAAGACCGGGATGCCAGACTCGGTCAAACGCCTGCTTCACGTCCAGCATGACGGCCATGCAGTACTTCTTGGTTTCAAACGCGTCCAGGATGCACTGCACTACCCGATGGCACTGCTCTGGCGTACCGTGTCGCCGCCTGAAGCCAAACTGGTGGTCAGGGATCAGTCCAGCCTCGTCAAATACTGGCAGTGCTCTGCTTAAAAACACTCGTTCAAGTATTTTGGAGAGCGTTGGTAACAAACTTATTGGTCGGTAGGACGAAAGGTTTGCTTTGGGTTTCCCGGGCTTAGGTATCATAGTTACCTGGGCACGTTTCCATGTGGACGGGAAGTACCCTATCTCCAAGCATCTATTATAGATCCTCGTAATTAGCTGAATGCTTGGAGGTGGTAACATTTTTAATGCAATTGCATTGATACCATCATCGCCCGGGGCCTTGTTGTTGCTCATGATGGTTATAAGCTCAGCTGTTTCCTCCTCAGTCACTGGTGGTATTGGATCGGCGTCCCTAGAAGGCTCGGCTAGCAGACGGGCAGTTTCAGCAGCATCCTCCGGTGAGCAGCGATCGAAAGGCGTAAAGACACCTTCGAGGTGTTCGGCGAAAGCGTTGGCCCTGTCCATCTCCGATCTGCACCAGCTGCCGTCGGTTCTTTGTACAGGTGGGATCCTTTTCAGCGGCTGTCTGATAGATTTGGTGACTCGCCATAAGTTATGTTGAGGGTCGCCTGGCTCAAGTTGTTCGACGAACCCGTCAAAGGCCTGCTTCCTTAGTCTTGCCAGAGTTTCTGTCAGACATTTGGTCGCTCTATTGAAGGCGGTTTTGTCCAAAGGATTCCTTGAGAGCATCCACACTCTTCGGAGTCGTCGCTTTTCAAGTTTGAGTTCTTCGACTTCTGGGCTCCAAAAATGGATGTCCCTGTCAGTGGCTCTTGGGCGGTTGGAGGGCCTTGGTGCTGCTTCAGAAGCTGCCGCCTGAATATGGGCTGTTAACTCTTCTACAACGGTGTCGATGTCAACCGGGGAGTCAAGTGTCGGGCTGGGGTCGGTAACGTTGTTCAGGTAGGATTGGTACTTGTCAACGTCTGTTGTCTTGTAGATCAGCTTTTTGCGGGCTGACCTGAGCAAGGCTGGGGTGAAAAGTGACACGGCAAAGGCGCTGTGGTCCGAGAAGAGGTCTTCTACTTCTCTCGCTTGAATTCCGGCAGAATCCAGTCCTCCGGAGATGGCGAAGTCTAGCACATCAGGGATTTTGTGGGGATCCGTAGGCCAGTATGTGGGTGCACCGGTTGCGTGACAGCTCAAGATTCGGGACTGAATCTGCCTGTATAGGGCCGAGCCCTTTGGGTTTGTAATCCTGGAGCCCCACCAGGGGTGTTTAGCATTAAAGTCCCCTCCGATTATGAACTTGGGGCCGAGGCAATCCAGTAGCTAGCCGAATTCCTGTTTGTGGATGTTGTGCCTGGGGGGGCAATATGCTGCGGCGATTGTTATGTCACCGTTGGTAGTGGAGATTTTAATTTGGGCACATTGTACCCAGTCTTCGCACATGGCTGGAAGTGCCTCATACTTGATGCAGCTGCGAATAAGGATGGCCGCGCCCCGCCGACCTCTACCGTTCGGGTGGTTAGCGGCAATGAGGTCGTATCCTCTAATAGTCAAGTATGATCTGTTGGTAAAATGCGTTTCTGATATGAGGAGAACGTCTGCTTGGAGGGTCTTGCAATATAGCTCGACCTCTGGCCTTCTTTTACCAGGCCGTTAGCATTCCATATGGTTATATTTAATTGCGTATGCACAAGGATTTGCAAACGGTGGCCATCATTTGGGCTATTTGGCTCAAGACCTTCTCCATCATGCGCTCAAACATAGATTCCATCCTAGCCGTTAGGGCGTCCATTGGATTACTTGAAAGACTGGGATCGGGATTGGGGTTGGAGTCAAACTGTGGTGCTCCGTTTTTGACTGCGCTAGCATAGCTGATGTTAGGGTTAATTTTGCTGAATTGAGGTTGCTGGCGTCTTGGGGCAGCCTGCTTGGGGGCGAACGTGCTCTTTGCCTTTTTGTAGGCTGGACAGCCCTTGTAAGAGGCCGCATGTGATCCGTCGCAGTGGAGGCAGACTGCTGGTTCACTGGCAATTTTGGTGCATTCGGACGATGGGTGCCTATCTCCACACTTTACGCATCTGTACTCCAGATGGCAGTACCGTTTCGTGTGACCGAAGCCCTGGCAGCGATGGCATTGGGGCACATCGTCGAATTTTTTTGGTGGCTCAACCGTAACCACCGTGCTGCATAGCCGCTTGACTTGAAAGGCCTCCTTGTTGTTTTTGGCTGGCTCGAGGTTAATAAAGAAAATGTTTAGTGGCTTCTTTGTACCTTTTTGCATAGGATTGTGTATATCCCTGACTTTGTGTCCATGGCTGCTGAAACCCACCTTAATATCCTCCGGGTCGGTGGAGAAGTGGAGGCCTTTAACGACGATCCGATAAGCGCGCTCGTCTCGGGGCTGGAATGTGACTTAATACAATTAATATAATTAATAATACTGGAAATACTTAAATGATTTATCAAATCATTATGAACTTACTAATTTAATTTGTAATTTTTATTTAATAATAAAAACTCGTTAAGATTCTGTATACAATTCTGCCGTAAAATTCCCCCAGTGAAGATGCCGTTTCTGATCCTGGATAAAGACCATTGAGTGCCTCTAGCCGCATACACATGTCCTGGCTGCTGGAGTGTCCTCTTGAGCTCACTACAGCAACATACACTTGAGCCAACGTATCTTAACGGCTGCCCCAAACTAACGATGGCATTTTCCGGGCATCTGAAGAGGTCCTGCTCCACTCCACTCGAAAGAGAAATTAATGCGTGGGGCTTCGAGAGGAGGTCTGGATGAATTTAGCAAACAAAGTTGCTGCGAAAATTTTATTTAGGTTTTCTGAGACTATGCTATTAGTTATTAGTTTATTATTTAAAAAAATAAAACTCAGTAGAAGATCTTAAGATCAACACTTAAATAATGCCTCAAAGTATGCAACCTTTTAGTTGAGATCTTCAAAAGGCGCCACCTATGTGTGAAACTTTAATTAACTGATCGAGAGGTTTTAATATATATTTTTCTTAAATTTATATAAATCTGAACCACATTTAGTGTTACAATTTAGCTTTAAGACATTTAAAGGCACAACCATTAGACTGGTTGCCTCACATCCCCACTTTGCCGCTCAATGTCCCCCCAACTTGAAATTCTCGTGCCTCGTCCTCCGATGTCCTCCGATGTCCTCCGTTATCGGCTGTAGTTGGACAAACAAATGTGCCGACATAAATAATGCAAAAGTATTCATTTTGACATCGAATAGACAAAGTTGCATTGAATTTTCATGTTTGTTCTTCCGCAGCCGCTGTTGTTGGTTCCAGTTCTTTTATTTCTTTCAGATACTTGTGCCGGTCTTATCTGTCCCCTTTCGCCCTCGACCCCCCTTTCGCCCCTTCTGGTGGAAAGAGTGTCCTCCTCGTATGTCCTGGATTTTATGCTGCCAGACCCTAGTTGCCGGACTCACTCGTTTGGCCATCGTCTTGTGCATTATTAAAACTATTCTGATGGCGATTCCGAGGAAGGAGGTCCACTTGAAATGTCAATGCTGGTCCTAGAATTGCTTGCTCCTTGCGCCCCCTACCCCTTTTCACCTCCCGCGCCCTGCTAGTGCATAAAGTTTTATCGTTCCCTGGGAGGCGGTCGAGCTCCCCCCACCGACTGGTTACGTTTCCTTTCCAAGGACTCGGAGTGAATGCATTTGCAATTGCATAAATGAACAGCAAGGAGCAGCAGCAGGAGCTACTGCAGACAAAACGAATGGAATTCATTATTGGCCAGGAGATGTCCTGGAGTAGGAGTGGGAATCGGAGCCGGAGTCAGAATCGGAAT